TTAAGCCTGTGTTCAACAATCCTTCAGTAGGACAGACTTCGAAATCTTCGTCTCATTCCAGAAGAAAGCCAATGTTAAATAGGAAGGATATCTTAGATCCTAAAGTGGAAGCTCGGAATGCACCCAAAAAGGAAGTTAAGACTAGACAAAATTCAAGATTCCTTGAGAACTCCAAAAAGAGCGTATCTCGGAATTCTCCTTCATCAACTCATAGTCAAAACTTCTTCACACCCACTAAGATCCTTAAGAGTCCTTCAAATTCTCCAAGTCCTGTAGAACAAAAGAAAGTGGTTAGTTCCACTCAGGAAAAGTCAAAAGTAAGCACCGCATCTGTCCGAAACACCTCTCATCGGATTGTTTCATCTGTTTTCATTGCAAAATCCGATGGCACAGTTTTTAGACCTCGACTTTCAAAATCAAATGTGTCATTAAGAAACCAGAAACATGTTAAGAAAACAAATTTTTCAAAATCATCAAACAAAACTTTGTATGGAAAGTCAAAACTCACATTGATGAAACAATCACTCCGGAAGACAAAGTAGTAACCACTACTCCGGAAGTTAAAAGTCAGAAGAAAGTTGTTCCGAACTATCCTGTCATTTAATATGACTATTGGATAGATGAAAGAACCATGTCATTCTGTTTGTTTCCTAAGGAATCTCGGAACAAATCTTCTAAACCAACTGTTGCTCAAAAGTCACTTCCCAAGCCTAAGACTCGGACCTTTGTCCGAAAACCTAACATGGAGCCTAAAAACTCCACCACTCACTAATTTTGCAGGCACTTTGTGCTTCAGATCAAGAGACAATATGGTATATTGATAGTGCTTGCTCCATGCACATGAAGGGGCAAAAGGACTTTCTGTGAGATCTCAAACTTGCACCAAATGTTGGCTATGTGACATATGGCAACAACTCCAATTCTCAGATCCGAGGTTATGGCATCCTTACAAATGGCAACTTCTCCATTTCAAACGTGGCATATGTAGCTGACTTAAAGCACAATTTGATAAGTGTGGCTCAATTCACTAATGCAAATTGTCGAGTTGAATTTTGTAAGAAACATAGCTACATCATGTCCGAAGATCGAAAGGAATGCTTGATCAAGTCTAACCGCAATAAGAACATGTATCCTTTTGACATCAACATGATCATTGGCAAGCCCCAACTCTGATTACTCTCAAAAGTTGTTCCTGACGTCAGGTGGTTATGGCATAGGAGGCTTGCTCACTTGAACTTCAAATATATGAATGATCTTGTTTCGGGTGAAATGATTAGAGGTTTGCCACTTCTCAAATTCGATAACGACCATCTATGTGCTGCATGTGAGTGTGGAAAGCAGTCAAAGAAGGGTCATCCCGTCCTCATTGAAAAATCAATCTCGGAACCATTAGAACTTCTACACATTGATCTGTGTGGACCATCAACAGTAGAGAGTCTGCATCACAAAAAGTACATTCTTGTGATTGTGGATGACTTTACTAGGTTTACCTGGGTCTTTTTCCTAAGGCTGAAGTCAGAAACAGCCTCTGAGCTCATCAATTTTATAAAAGGAATAAAAGTTCTCATCAAACTCCCAGTAAGGAGAATCCGAAGTGACAATGGTTCAGAATTCACTAACTCCACCATTGAAAGCTTCCTCACCGAGAAGGGCATCGACCACAATTTTTATGCTCCTTACACTCCTCAACAAAACGATGTAGTCGAACGACGAAATAGAACACTTGTTGAAGCTGCTTAATCCATGCTCAATTTTGCAAATTTGCCACTCTATCTTTGGGCCGAAGTTGTTTCTACTGCATGCTTTACCCAGAATAGAAGCATCATCAATCGACGCCTCAACAAAATGTCGTATGAAGCCATGAACGGTCGGAAGCCGACTATCTCGTTTCTTCATGTTTTTCGGATGTAGATGCTTCATCAAGAACAATCGTGATCAGCTTACCAAGTTTCAACCTAAAGCTGATGAAGCCATCTTCCTAGGATACTCTTCCAAATCAAAGGCTTACAGAGTTCTTAATCGAAGAACTTGTGTTCTAGAAGAAAGCTTTGATGTTACCTTTGATGACAACTTCGTTCGGAATTCTGGGCCAACCCATGTTACAACTCACATAATGGAGTCCGATGCTCCAGCGCCAGGATGTCCGAACCAGCAAACAATCCTTGAATTTGATTTTGAGACCTTGTTCGGACCTTCCGAGATGACTCTTGATTCATAATCTCGAACAAGATCAGCCATGTACGAAGCGCTAGTCTCTCAGAATATATCAGGTCCAACCCCAAGTCTTCCTTCATTTGATTCCGAACCGTTTCAACCTTCTCAGGTTGAGGGGGAGAATGATCACTCTTCCCTTGAATCAAATGTGGATGGATTTCAAGATGCAGCTGCTGATTTTGATGATTCCAATCCCATCAACATTGATGATGATGCAAACTTCTTTGAATTCCCATTTGAAGATGATGTCAACCTATCCGGTTCAGAAGTTCAGGGGGAGCATCATCCACATGTTCAAACTATTCAGGGGGAGCATCATCCACATGTTTAAACTATTCAGGGGGAGAAACACAAACCCATTGTTAATATCGGATCATCTGTTGCACAAGAACTTCCAAGGTTACATGTCTGGACCGAGGATCATCCTCCGAACCAAGTGATCGGAAACCCAAACGCTGGCGTACAAACTCGATCTGCTTCAAGTCTTCAAAATGAATGTCATTTTTCGGCATTTATCTCTATGGTTGAACCTAAATCCATCAAAGAAGCACTTGAACATGTTGATTGGATCACAGTCATGCAAGAAACGTTAGCAGAATTTGATAGAAATGAAGTTTAGTCTCTCGCCCCTCCCCCTCAGAACCATCCCATTGTCGGTACTAGATGGGTGTTTCACAACAAGTTAGATGATGCAGGAGTTATCATTCGAAACAAATCAAGATTGGTGGCTAAAGGGTTTACACAGATTGAAGGTCTTGATTATGATGAGACCTTTTCTCCTGTTGCACGTCTTGAAGCTATCAGAATCTTTCTTGCTTATGCTGCTCATAAAGGCTTCAAAGTTTATCAAATGGATGTTAAAAGTGCTTTTTCTAAATGGTGAACTTGACACTGAACCATATCTTCAACAGCCTCCCGGTTTTGTTAATCTTTCATATTCGAACTACTGCTACAAACTCCGGAAAGCTGTCTGCGGCCTTAAGCAAGCTCCTCGCGCATGGTACGAGACCCTCACTGATTTTCTCAAGCCTTCAGTTTTTCAAAGAGGAATTCTAGATCCCACTTTGTTCCGAAGGTCAAATGCAAAGCATCTCATGCTGGTCCAAATTTATGTTGACGACATCATTTTCGGATCTACCGATTCTTCAATGGTTGTTGACTTTGCTAAGTTAATGGTCAGAAGATTTCAAATGAGCATGAATCAGGAATTAAGCTTCTTTCTTGGTCTCCAAGTCAAACAGACTAACAGAGGAATTTTCATTCACCAAGAGAAGTACATTTCGGAACTCCTCAAAAAGTACTCAATGGACATCTGTGCCTCAGCCAAGGTACCAATGGGTTTCGGTCACAAGATCTTTGCCGACCCGTCAGGTGTACCAGTTTATGAAAAGAAGTACAGATGAATGATTGGATCCCTGATCTATCTCACAGCAAGTCGTCCAGACATCATGTTTTCTACATGTTTGTGTGCCCGATTTCAAGTAAACCCAAAGATGTCTCATCTTTTGGCTGTTAAGCAAATTTTCCGATACCTTAAGGGTACAAAGAACCTCGGAATCTGGTACCCAGTAAATGAGAGCTTTCTTCTTCAAGCATACTCAGATTTAAACTATGGTGGTCTACAATTGGATAGGAAAAACACATCAGGTGGCTGTTAATTTTTAGGTGGTCGATTGGTTAGTTGCTCATCCAAGAAGCAGAACTGCATTGCACCCTCTACAGCCGAAGCAGAATACATTGCTGCTGCCAGCTGTACCTCTCAAGTTCTATGGATGAAGTCTCAAATCTTGGATTATGGTTACCGTTTTCAACGCATTCCTATCTATTGTGATTCTCAAAGTGTCATTGCAATTTCGCACAATCCAATTCAGCACTCCATGACGAAGCACATTGACATACGGTACCATTTCATAAAAGATCATATTTTAAACGACAACATTGAATTCATTTTTGTTCCATCTGACGATGAAATTGCTGATGTCTTTACTAAGGCACTAGACGAAACCAAATTCAATGGTTTTCTGAACAAGATGGGTATGATGATGTCGGATCCTCAGTTCTTTCAAGATACTTGTTCTCTCTGATGATAACATCAGTTAGAAAATTGGTTCTGAACTCAAAAACTCTTTTATCTCGGAACTATTGTATCTCGGAATACATAGGATCTTTTTACTTGTCTTTATTTCTAACCACCACTTGAGTTTTAAGTTGTATTGTTCATCTTATCATTTGATGTCCATAGTCCACATAGTAACAATGATCAAATTTTCTCCTCAGAATTTACTTCATAAAGTCATCCCGGAATTCCAATCCGGAAAGGTATTGCATTCTATACTTGCCCACCTGGAACAAACCCACATGTCACATTTGCTATCCCAACTTCTTCCTCACGCACACACTCCGGAACCCATGTTCCGGACCCCAAGCATTCCGAGGTTGGAGTTGTCCCTCCAATCTCAGGTGCATCAACTGGTCTGATACCCGGTAAGGGTACAGGACGACCAGGAATTAATGATCCTTTATGGGAAGATTTTGTGAACAGGGCACACTCGAGGCACCCGAAACTTACAAGATCTCAGGTTGAGGCCACTCTAATTTCCATGCGGAACCCGGAAATCCAGAGCAATCTTCCTTATGTTGCTCCTTCAGACGAGATTACTGATCTTGAGTCACTTCCGGAGAAACTCCCAAGACTCCACCTCATACTTCCACTCATTCAGCTTCGAATGATGAAGTTTCCGAAGAAGTGCTGCTAACCAAAGATGATGCGCATGTTGCTGATACAAATGTATTCTCTTCTGTTCAACTACACTCCAATCCGTCCTCATCCAAGTCTGCTTTTGATTTCGGATCCTCCTCCTCTACTCGTGACAAGGAATCATATTCGACTCAGAAACTTCATGATGATGCAACTACCACCAAACCTGGTCCTTCGGTTACTCCAATCAATCCGGAATCTACGAAACACAAGCCTTAACATTCCAGCTCAGACAACCGATCCTCAGCAGGAGACCACATTGATCTGTTTGCTCTCTTGGATATTCAAACCAATGTGTCAGACACTATGAAGAAGTTCAATTCTCTTGAAACTTCCGTAGCAGGGCTTAACTCCAAACTTGATGAGAAAGTCTTCGGACTGGATTCGAAGCTTGATGCCATCCTTAAAGCTCTGTCCAAAGCCAACAATTTCGGACCTACTATGGCTGAACGTGAAGCCTAGTTGGATCAACTCATATCCCTAAGGCTCAAGCATACTGTTGAGGAAGTCGAAAAGAAGTATGATGAGACTGTTGATCATTACCTTGATACAATAACGAAGATGTTGAAGGTTCATGACGATATGTTGAATGCTTCCAATGAACTTATTAAGCAAACACATATTCGTCATGAGAAGAAAATTCAGCGCCTGGAAAAGGAGATCCGGAAGAAGGATGAGATGAATCTCATCATACAACAAATCCTCCTCAAGCTTCTTCGTTCATGTTGGAACATTGTGGAGGTTTCGAACCAAACGTTTGATGAGATGATCTCTATACTCTCCTCCTTATTCAACCATCTCAAATCCCAAGCCCCCACTGCTTATGCTTATGAATCCTTCACCCTTCAAATCAACACCAGCTTTCAGAAGGTGTTTGAGAAATTTTCCTACATGAAGGAGTCACTTATGCTTGCTCCGGTTGTCAGGCCTACCGGTGCAAGAGGGGGAGAAGGTCCAAGTCAACCTTGGAAGACTGCCTCGGAATTCCAGCTCTAAGATGAAGATGAAGATTCCGATGTGAAGTCCAAGTTCTTTCCGTACTTCTAGGAAATGATGATGATGGAAGTGGTGAAGATGAAATTGAGTATGTCACAAATGCCGTCATTGGGATCCCAGCTCCCAAGAAATTTCCTGCCAAGGTGCTTTCGGAGGAAGAGCAGAGAATCTGGTCCGCAGTCTCATGGCCATCCACTCTACCGGATGTGTTTCAAAGAAGTGTTCAAATGGCCAAAGCTGAGACCAAGCTAACGGTTGATGCTTTCCGGGCCACTCCATCCATGTTGCCACCAATTCCGGCTCCAAAAATTGCTCCTATAGATGAAGGTTCTCCCCTCCGGACTCTAGATGACATTCCGGAAGAACCTCTTCTTCCTCTCCTTCAAAGTTCACTATTGATGAGAACATGATGCATGTCATCTCCGTTCTTAACAAAGACAAAGGCAAGAAGCCCATCACGGAAGAATATCAAGCTCTACACTCCGGACCTCCACCAAATCAAAAATTCGGATGGTCTCAGGAGGAAATCAACAAAGCCTTAGAGGATAGCATCCGGATCCAAGCTCTCAAAGACAATCCTGATCCAATGTGTGGTATCTCTCCTCTATATCGTGTAGGCATTCTTCGTGATGCGAACATAATACCTTTCATGTATATTCTACTCCAAGGATAGCATCTGCCTCTCTCTCCATATAGCAAATTCTACATCAAGTTTGCTCCTATCCACCCAAATGACGATGTGGAGATGATCATCCAGACAGAGCGTGAAAGATTGAAAACATTCTACTCCAAGAACGCACAACCTCAAAAGGAAGTATGGACAAGGAAAAGGATAACAAAGATCTTTGGGTTCAGAAGAAATATCTTGGTGAAGTATGAACTTAACTGTCCATTGTTCCAGTATCACATCATCCGGAACAAACCAGCAAACCACACCATCACTGATGCTGACTTTCCTGCAATGAATCTGAATGATGTCCTGACCATTGCTGCTCATCTTCGGAGTCTTCAAAGAGATGACATCAGCATGGGTGCTTACCACGCAGCCTTAGGCTTTCTCAAGGATTATGTCGCGGAATTTTGTCGATGCGACTATGAGCTTGCTCACCTGTTCGAAACTGGAGATTTTGTTGCGAAGATTGATTATGTGCTTCCTGAAGCTGAACTGCTAGCAGAAGGACCTATTGATGATCTGTTCCTAGGGTTTGTGTACAAGACAAAGAAGACCAACAAAAAGAACTTTTTCCGAGTCCTTGACAAACACCTAATTCCGACTAGAGCCCTCAAGATATTCATCAGTCGAGAATCCAGGTCCGAAGCTCCTGAACATGTCAAGACAAAGTTTGTGAGTCAGCTGCAATGGTATGTTGAAGTCAGGGATTGGCTGTTTAGAACTTACACGTTCATCAAGGAAGAAGCGAACTAATACTTACTTGATTGCTAAGTTCACTTAGGGGGAGATTGTTGGAACCTGAAAGTGAACCTCTAGCAATCCCAATCACCCTTGAAGATCCGAAGTCAGTCAAAGTTCCGAAATGAAGTAGTTGGTGTCCGGACTTGAAGCGTTGCTCCGGAATTACTTTTGTATCCGGACTTGAAGATATGCTCCGGATGAGAAGATCAGTTGAAGGCATTCCGGAATGGACTATGTGTCCGGAATGTTTGTCTTTCCGAATCAATGTTTTTGTCTTTGTTCATTTATTGTATTCGTCTTTAGCTTGATTTAACTCGTCATAGGACTTAGTCTCTTTTGTTAAGCACGGATATTCAGAGTGTCAGAAGTAACTCTTTTATCCAGTCCTATGTATGTAATCAGTCAATACTATGTACCTTGTTCTCCTATCTATAGGAGTTTTCAAAGTTAAATCAAATGACAGATCATTCAAACATATTTAGCAACATTCCAGTTTACTTCACTTATTCTCTCAAACATTCTTCTTGTTCTTCATTTATTATCTTTACCTTGATCATTATATTCTCTCTTCATTTATGTCTTGAACATTATGTTGAATGCATTAACTCAGACTTGATTGGTTTTACCATACTTGACTGGAATACCTCTTAGTAAGCAGACATTGATCTTAAGCATTCATTCAAGGTGAGTTTTCAAACCTTGTCCCTACGCATCTGATCATCCTTGTTCTCACAACATCGCCTAAACTCGTAATTCATAGTAGGGGTTAGAGTATCATCGCATGAATACGTAGTTACAACATCGCCTGAACTCGTAATTCATCACCTACAGGTTATGAATCTGCTGGTGTTTCCACATGACTATCTAGAATAGTATGTGGTTGCCATCTAAACTATGGTAGATGACTACATCGCCACATCGCCGGTCAAGGTTATGGTATCTCCTCTCATCTCACATCACCTAATTATCGTCGCCTAATTATCATCACCTTTCTATCATCACCTATCTATCATCACCTAATTATCATCACCTTTCTATCATCACCCGTTGCTACCCAATATATATTTTATAAGTATAAAAATACGTGTACAGTTTAATTCACGTAAACATGTATAAATCGTTCATCTAGCATAGATATCAGGAACACAGATAATATGCACACATAACACATAATTTATATTAAATACTTCATATCTATGTGTGAGATGAAAGTGACTATGCACTCACTTTAGTAGTGTGATTTGATAGAATCTAACTAGAAACGGTCAGCGGTTCGTGATCGTCGGGCTTGGGAAAGGAAACGCCTTCAGCAAACGAGAGAGAGAAAGAAGGTATGGTGTAAGGAACGGTTAGGGTCGAACTTGCTATTTATAGGCTGTTTTTGGTCCTCTCACGTCGTTAGAATCAATGCTCACGTCGTGAGCCATGGCTGATCACCTCGTAGACTTGCCATTTGCGTTTCTAGCTTCGGAAGGTGTCCGTTTGACTCCTCACGTCGTGAGAATTCATGCTCACGTCGTGAGCCCTAAACTTATCACTCTGTAGACTTGCCATCTGCATTTTAGCCTTGAAAAGTGTCTGTTTGACTCCTCACGTCGTGAGAAAACATGCTCATGTCGTGAGCCCTGACAGATTACAGTTTCTGCCACGTGTCATGCTCTCAGAGAGCTACATATTCGGAAGGTCATAACTTTTGCATACGGGCTCCGTTTTTATGTTCTTTATATCCACGCGTAGGTGGAGACGTACTATACAACTTTCTTTTAGATCACTAAGTATAAAAAATATTTTATCATAAACTCACTTTTTACGATTCTCGGTGTCGTGTCGGTTTTGTCGCGAAACTTCGACAGGTCATAACTTATTCGTTATAACTTGGATTTCGGCGTTCTTTATATGTACGGAATACTTGTGAAATATACTACGACTTGGTTAAGATTATTTACTCTAAATAATCTTCTATCAAAACATCATTTTTGACGCTCATTGTCTCTAATTTGACTAGCCCGAATCTGCGGGCGCTACAACAACCTTTCAAAAGGAGGTATTCTATAATGAATATCATACCCAAAAAGCCTCCAGCATGTCTCACAAGCAGAAATATAACGACAATTGTAAAAGTCAACAATTTCATTACCGTCGTTATTTTCTTTATGTTGTTTTTTTTATTCTCGACGTCATAAAAAGAGGTTGTGATCTTATCTAGTACTTTGTTAATATACTTAAAAAGATACTTTATCGATCCAAGTTGATTACACCACTCAATATTCATATGCGCATGGTATTGTTTCAAAAGTATCTTATTATATGAAACAACATATCTGAAAAAAAGGAAAGAAACATGTCATAAATAACATTAAAATCATATTATTTTTAAAACATAGGAAAAACAAGTAAACATATATAATAATTATAATTTTAATATTATATAAAGTATTTAAATGATATAATATAAATGTATATAAAAAATGATGTATGAATAGTTTACGTGACTTAAACTTGATTTATATAAACTTCAATGTTGCATTATATTTAATGTAACTTGTTTAGCGATATTATGTATTAAAAAATATAACATATATTTCATATAAAAGAAAACATTTATACATAATTAAATATACATATGAATAAAAATTATTTTTTTATACCTGTTGTCCAAAGAAACACCGTTTTTCACGACATTGTTTCCATTGTTGCGTCTTCTGTAAACCGGATAATCATCATCGTCAATATATGTATGATATGTATAGTCTTTTAGAAATCCTTTAGAACATTTTTCTTTTTTCATACATGGCATAAATGGAAATTCATTGTCGCATGGTCCATGTATCATGTTGTCACAAACAATTCGATACAATTATGGTCCAAGCTCCTTGTCTGACAATTCAACACATGTAACACGATCTATGTCTTCGGCATTTAGAAGTTTAGATTTTTTTTTTCTAAAAATAGGCATATGTGACAATGTGGAAGACATTTTTTTTAAATTCGATGGTATATACAACTGTATGAGGCAATTAAATTAGTTGGTTAATGTAACATCCGAGATTAATAAGGTACTAATTATATTATTATTAGCTTAATGAATTGAATTGGTTTGGGCTTGGATCATTGGATCCTTAGGATTGGGCTGAGAAGTCCCGTACGCGGGGCGTACTATGCCAAGTACGCTTAGCGTACTCATGAGACGATGACGTGCATGCCATACACGTACGCCCAGCGTACCAAAGGGTACACACAACGTACGTATGCAGAGTCTAAAACCCTAAATTTTAGGGTTTGATCCCTATATAAAGGACTGTATGCCTTTAGTCCAGCCTCCCTCTCACCCTTAGACAGCCACCACGAAAACCCTAACCCATATTTGTGTGTTCTTGTGATTTGTTAGCCACTTGATAGCATTTTAGTGTTGTTTTTGATGGGTTTTTGAGCATTCTAACACTTCCTAAGTGTACATGCAACCCTAATAACCTTGAATCTATGTTTTCTCTATATACATGCAAATTTCTTTTTCAAGGTTATTTCCTAACTAGCATGGCATGGGGATTACATAAAACATAAAACTAGTAGAAATACATACCTTGTTGTTGCTTGGATTCCTTCAAGACTTTGTGAGCCTAGCACCCCAAATGTTGTATCTCAAATGCTTCACACAACACCACAAGACTTGGAATAACTTGAGAGAATACTTCTAGCACTCAAATTTTGGTTATGCCCTCTCTAGTAACACTATGTCCACTAGCTCCACTTTTTGCTAGCCATAGGGTTCCTTTTATAGTGTTGTCACAATTAGGGTTTACACATGAATGCTCTTAATTGTCATGACTCTTGATTTCCCATGACCCATGGATTTGTAACTCCCATGGACTATCCATGGAGCTCCATATGGTTACATCCATAACCCATAAACCATGGATCATTAATCCACCATAAAAGAATTGATGATTGTCATAATCAACCCTATATATTTAATTAGCACTTTGATCACCAAATTAA